TATTTCCTGCATTGGAAAAGGATCTGAAAGCATTAAATTAAATAAAGAAATAAAAATGAAATTGACAATATAAAAGGAGTTAAAAATAATGGCATTAAAAAAATGATGAATTTAATCAAACGTCAGCTCCATCAAAACAAAATAGAAACTGTAGAATAGGTAGATGATTATTCATGAATAGGACAAATCTGGAATGAACCAATAAGAATAGAAAGTAATTCTATTAATATCTAATTAATTGACTATTTTTATAAAAATAAATCTTTTTTGGAACTAATAAACTAAATTTTATAAAATGACTACTGAAATTACTGATACAATGAAATTATGTGAAGAATTAAAATCAATGACAAATGAAATGATTAATAAACTTAATAATGTAAAACAACAAATTGGAACTGATGAATTTCAAAATGGGAAAGATAATTTAATTTCAAAAATAGGAGAAATAGGTAACTTTGTAACAATGGCAAATAAAAGGTTTGAGATTTCACTTTTAAAAAGAAAAGACTTATCAAAACAGTGATTATACCAATCCTGAAATTGAAGGGTTACAATCCATAATAATACTAACTCATTTATTATATGAAGTAGCTAAAACTTGGAGTAAAGAAAATAATGTTGAAGATGAATTAAATCTTAAAATATCATATTTACTACAACAAACTAAAAAACTTAATCAAATTGCAATTACTGAAGCTCCAAAAAAGAAAGTAGATATATTAAATGAAGTAGCAAAACAAATTGATCTTGGTGTAGGAAAGAATATTACCAAAGAATTAGAAAAGAAAGGAATAAAAGATGCTACAATAGACATTTCTATTGCTGAAGCACGAATCAAGTTAGTTGAGTCTCGAAAAAAACAAGAAGAAGCACTAAAAGCAATAGAAAAAATTTATTCAATTTTAGAACCAATCAAAGAACATTGGACAAAAGAAGATTTTGTTAAAGCATGTTTTGGTAATGTTGAACAAAAGAATTAATTTAATAAAGTTAATAAATTTCATTACAACATAAACTAGACAGGTTTTAATAAGAAAAAAAAAAATAGAAAATTAAAGAAAAAAAAGTCATTTAAAATTATTGCAAAATAATTGCTAATTTGTTTGGTTCAACCTTTGGACAAGCCCAATTATAAAGATAATATTTCAAATAACCATCACCAGGAACAAATAATAAATCAGCAAGATATTGTTGATTTTCTGAAATATTTAAACAATTAAAGACATCGCAATGGTTTTGAACAGCACAAATTAAAATATCTTTAAAGAATTGTTTAAAATCAACGTCTTTGTCATAGAAGTAATAATACTGATAAGCAATATATAACTCTGAATATTCGTATGAATTAAGAATAGATGAGGGTAATATGTAAAATGCTCCAAATGCTTTTATAACTCCATTTTGTTCCAAAACATAACTTTTAACAATACCATCTCTACTAAGGAAAGTATGTGCTACCATTTCTTTACTAAATAATACTGTAAGGTCATAATGAGTATGTAAAAATCTATTAAGTTTTTCTGTGACAATATCAACATCTTTTTCTTCCATTTGTCTGAACCCAATAGAATGTGGTTGTTCTGGTAATTTATAAAGTTTTAATGCTCTTTGAAGTGTTAGTCTTTGATTACAAGTTGAGAATCCAATAGCATCTAATTTTTTTGGATTTAATGGACGATGGAAATATTGTGTAGTACAAACAACATTTGGTAATTCTGTTCCAGAAGTATAAACTGCTTGAAATAGTCCTGTTAAATGAACTTGACGAGTAACTTCTTTAATTAATTGTGGTGCTAATTTAAATTTTCTCATATCCTTTCTAACACACAAAAAGTTAATTTCTGCAACATCAACAATACGGTCATAAATTTTTATTGAACTTGGAACTCCTGTAATAAATCCTATTAGTTCATGACTATCTTTTTGTCTAATTCCTACAAACCAACTAGGATAATATCCTGGTACTTTTAAACACCATTTAATAAATTCTTTTTGATAATCAAATCTAAGTGTAGCATCATCATCTTCAACGTAATTTTCTTTTAACAATATATATACTTCTTCCATTTCTTTTTCATTATCAATATTAACAATACAATATTCCATATTTTCATTTGGTAATGGTGCCGGTACTTTTGGTACTTTTTCAATTGGAATATCTGGTTGAATTGGGTTATTATATTTTTGTGGTACAATAACACCTGTTCCTGTTACTGGTTCATATTTCCAAAATTTATGGTCATTATCAATATCTCCTATAGTCTTACCGTCTTCTTCTTTTTTAATTGCTTGTAAGAATTCACTTTTTTCTTCTTCTTTTACTAATTCTTTAGGTTTTAATTCAATAATTTTTTCTTCTTCTGTCTCTTCTTTCTTTGTTATCTTCTTACTTTTTTTTGTTGTTTTCTTTCCTTTTCCTTGTTGATGTGGCATTTCACTTACTAATTCTTTACCTTATTTATAGTTCTTTCATTTATTTATTATATTTTTACTATTATTTTATTATATTAATCTTAATTTATTGGTTTTTCTTTTCTTTTTTTTTTTATTTTCTTCCATTTTTCTTCTATTTTCCAACAATTTAATCATTATTGTTTTATCTTGCTCAAACTTTAACTATATCAACATACAAATAATTTCTTACCTCAACTCTATTTCTCATTTAGAAGTTTGTCTTGTTTTTACAAGACTATCAATCAGATAATGTCTAATCATTTTTTAATTTTTTCATTCCTCAAGTCTACTTCTTAACAAATTAACATTTAAAACAGGGTACTAATTAAAAATTACTAAATTAAGTTTCAGTAGATATTGCTTCTTCTTTTTCATTTTATTTATTTGAAGTTATTTTATTCACTCTATTTCATGTCTTGTTCATGAGGTATTTCTATATTCATCACATCATTTCATTAATTTTTCATTGTTATTATTCATTATTTCATTATTTCCAACGCAATTATAATGTTTTGCTTTTCAACACTCTTACCAATTCTATATTGAATATTCAAATTATTGTAATTACATTGAATTACTTTTATTTTATTCTATTAATTTATTTTGAGAATTTTGTCTACTTTGTATTTTATTAACAAGTACTAATTTCATCTTTTTATTATTTACAATTGTCATATCATTTATTACTCTTATTTGTTTTATATTCTCTATTTATGTC